AAGCAGTGGTTCCCAGCCCTGGTCCTGGAGGACCCCCTAATCAGCACGTTAGTGTTTGCCCTGGTCCCAACACACCTGATCCAACTAATCCTCTAATTAACAAGCCCTCCCTGAGTTGAAGTGGGTGTGTTTTGCCAAGAAAACACAAAAATGTGCAGGTCAGGGGGTCCTTCAGGACGAAGGTTAGGGACTACTGCTTTAAGGGTCTGTACACCTAATGTAGTTAATCAGGCAAGATATGCTTGCACCTCTGAAGTTTGCTTCTTTAAATTTTGGAGTTATACGGCTAATATAGCTAACAAGGGGTTAGTAGCTAACCAGACGTCCAAAGCAGTTAATGCCTCTGAAAGCCCCCTCACTGAAGGTTATTAAATGAAAAGGTTACATACACACTGTCTGATGCCTGAGACAATACAAACCAATAAGGTAAGATCATGGCCTTAAACACTTTTTTACCTCATTCATGGTGGAGAGGTGCATGCACTAGTTTACCATTATCAACATTACCTATAAAAACCCAGAAGACACGTGTAGTTTGATTGGTAGTTTTAGTCAGTAAACAGAATGGATATATTTCCATTGTAGACATGGCAACCCCTGGTTCCTACCACCATCACTGTACATAAATCTCTACAATGCACCATTTCACATCAAAGCACTCTGAATGACTTTATTTCATTCTCAGTGATTGAATTATTCAGACATTTTGATAAATATGTGGTAAATAGAGAATATGGAAATATATATGAAGCCCATTTGCTTTGTCACATGACCTTTGGGTTGTGCAATATGTTTAGGTGTATGAATAAAATGAGATTTGTCCTCTAGAAGCATGTGACAGGCTTTTCCCTTTGTTTATCCGTCTTTTTTGCTCCAGTCTCACTGTGCTGTTCCCTCTCACCTCATTTACTGCTGTTTCAGCATTAAGTGGAAATGCAAGAGATTTCAGTTGCAATCACGTGTGGGTGATGTCCGTTGGTGGCCAAATGAGTAAAGCACAGCGGTGTTCCTGTTTGAGGAGGTTAGTTTACAGTGTTTGTGCACGCGTTTGCACCTTATTTTAACCCACAGATGGATCCAAAATATGAAGTTTTGGACTCTGAATTGCTGGCTGTGAAAGCACTGCACCTGCTCTTTTTTAGCTCCTTCATCAGTTTCTGAAAAAACCCTCCTGCGTATGGCCTGTTTAACCAAACTGAAGGACGAATCACGATGGAAAAAAGAGCATCTCTTCACGAATCAGACATTCATGAGCTGCTCAGCGGGGAGTAGCTCCAGCAGCCTGTACATACCCACGCTGCTCATCTCCTACACATCCTCATGTAGATGACAGCTGGTGCCAAGCTGCAAGATGACAAGCTTCATAAGCCTGTCGCCTTGCCACACGGCAAACTCAGACACTTCCAGAGATCTTGATCCAGCACTGTGCATGTTCAAACTAGCTTTAGACTGACCCCTGAGCAGCCCAGGGATGTGAATTTAATGTTTTTGTGCTTCTTTTGGCTGTGAGAGGCTGATTTTACACATCAACCTTCAACCAGGCAGTGAGGTGGTAAAGAGCGCAGTGGCGGGGTGGGGAGGATTACACTGTCATTTGATATATCTTCATGTTTTGCAGAGCCTCTGTCTATTCCGAGCGAGGGAATTCTTAGGAAATTTGTAGGAAATGTGTGCAAATTCAGCACACCATGCCTACTGTGGGAGAATCACATTCCAATTCAGTTCGCCAATCCCATAGGGTACACATGAACTGAACAGGAAATGCACATAAACGGATCAAACTAGGAAAATTCGTAAAAAATACAATTAAAATTTTAAAATTTTAATTCCTTTTTTTTATTGAAAAATTTTTGTCATTAACTTTTTTTACTTTGACACCACTAAATCCTAAACATGCTGTTTACTCCCTAGTTCATATATAAAAGCTACAAAAACAGCCCATTTTCTATTTATTTTATGTTGCAGGAACAAAAACACATTAACATACAGTTGTATGCAAAAGTTTGTGCACCCCTGGTCAAATAGCATGTTTTGTTGATTTTCTAAGTAAAAATATGTCAACACATCCTATATATAGAACACACTTCTGTCCATTTTAATGCACAATTACTGTTTATTTGCTGAATTTAACATATTGCAAGAAGTAAATTATAGTAACTGTGCACTAAAATTTGCAGCAAAGTGTCATTTTTAAGTGCATTCTCTGTAGAGGATGTGCTACTTTATTTTCAACAGTTTTTGCTTCAAAATTCATGCACAGTGAAGACGTCTGTGCATTTCCAGTACCCAAAGAAATGTATTTTTTTCCAGACAATTTTACCATTATTAAGAGGTGGAGTCATTGTTTCTCTGATGTCTAGACAATTGTAGCCCTGCCCATTCACTCTGAAGGTATAAGGAGTGTTTCAGCCTGAACTGCTTTTTGAATGAAGCACAATACAGGACAGCCAGTGAGAAAAGCCTTGTATGCCCCAAAAATGTAGCTTCACAGGAGAAAGAAAACCATTTGTGACTTTCAATGTAAGTTAAATGGCCACCGGCAGGCCCAAAGTTTTATTGCACAATTCTATAACCCAAGAACAGTCCCTGTAGTTACTGAATAATAGGTCTTAGTGTGTAATAAGCCTGGGATTTTTAAAGTAACAAGAATTTATTCCATGTCATATTGGACCAGTTTTATTGGTCCTTTCTTCATGAAATTTTAACACAGTTTAAATGGCAGCTGACATCTTCAAATTAAATAAAAAAAAACAAGAGATATAAGGATTTGTTCCAACAGTGATGATAAATCACTTACAGCAAAAAAACTGTTTCAGTTTTCTGTCTGTTCAATTCTAAGGGATAAAATGAGGTCGGAAAATGGTCATGTAAAATAAATTATGGCTTTTTTTGCTATAAAAGCCCACATAAACATCATAAGCAGATTTCAGTGAATAAAATAACAGAAACATGTTGGCTGTGGGCCCTTTTACGAGTGAATAAGAAGGTGGGCGACCAACCCCCTGTGTCTGCATCACTGGTTTGGATATTGCCAGTTCACTGAGTCTGTTGTCAAGCCTTCAGTTACTCAGACATCTCTTAAGGCCTCTGTTAATCCCTTTGTGCTGGGAACTAACAGGCAGTTTCGAAATCAGGCTCATTGCAGTCACCAAACATGCACTTCTGTACCTCAGAATTGTTGAAAAAAAAGACACCAAATAATGAGGCCTCAGTCAGATCACAAGGGACTTATCAGTCTTTATGTCATCACTCAGAATGTTCTTGCTCATTTGCCTGTGTCTCTCTTTGTCTCTGCTTTGCATACACTGTGGTAGGCTTGTATTCCTGACTTTGTGAGATATTTCCATTGCCTTCTGTAATTGAATGCTAAATGCAGGGTCTGACCTGTAAATGCTGTGCTACACTTAACTCTAAAGAGGAATTCCACACGTTTTTTTTTATTTCTGTGTAATTAAATCATTGACATGTAAACATCATTTAGAGTGCTTTGATGTGAAATCTTTCATTGCAGAGAAATGTACCAATTTCTTCACTGTGGTGATGATAGGAACCAGGGGTGGCAACATCAACAACACAAAAATATCAATTTTATTCACTATCCAAAATGACCAGTGAACATACACATGTCTTTAGAGTTTTACATGCAATGCTGATGATGGTAAAATAGTGGTACATCTGAAAAAATAAGTTTTCTTATAGTACTATTTTGCCTTACAATGCCTTGCATGTATCTCATGTATCCCTGAATGTATTTGTATTTTTAAAGCATTTTAGGCCTAAAGCTTATCCCAACTATCATAAAAACAATGGCTCAGGCATTAGGCTGCATATTTGTAACCATCATGTAATAAATTCCTGTGAGGGAGCTTTTCTTTTTTTTCAGATGTCTGGTTCGTGTCACCACCACTATAAGCATATCTGACTCTTGAGTTTCTCTTGAATGGAGCATTCCACATCAAACCACTCTGAATGGCTTCGATTACATCTAAATGATTTAACTTAAGCAGACATTTTTTTTAAAAAATATTGAATTCCCTCCTTACGTTCAGGAATCTATCGCTAATCGCTCTTTTACTTTGTCTAATTAAAGCTGCACTTTTAACAGAAAAGCATTGTCACTCATAGGAAGTAACCAGTATTAAAATATTCTGGTTGTCCATCATCCTATGGAAATTTGGTTAGTTAAAAACATACACACACACAAACACACACACACACACACACGCTCTGCCAGTCAACTCAGACTTGAGCATCGATCTTGTGCTTAATCAGTGTTGTAAAGCTGAACAGTCACAGTTTTCCTCCTTATTAAGCACAACAAATCGAAGCGTTCAATAGGCAAATTGGCTATCACTATGGTTACCGTCTCCAGCCACGCTGAGACATCAGTATCAGTCTATGACAGCAGGGCTGCAGAAGTGGATGAGGTAATAGTATGTGGTGAGGAGATTATATAATGTAGGATGTCACATGTGGATGAACGTAGGGAAAATCTCTCTTTCTCTCTCTCTCTCAGCTGCACATTTCACAGCTGTAGAATCTTATTGCCTCTGGAGCTCCTAAATTAAACACCACTCTTATTTATTTAGTGGTGGACAAACTTATAAGGAAGGCGACACACTACCCATAGCATTATACTATCAATGCCACCACACACCATGGCAATCCAGAGGTGAACCTTCAGGGCCTTCTAGGCCTAATGATTTCTGGTAACTAAAAACATGGCTACGATTTTTAGTTCAATTTATTTGATAGAATCATTCTGAAGTACCCTCTTTTCACTGTTAAGTTTTAGATGCCAACAAAATTGTTAATTTCTTGAGATGTTCAATAGACAATTGGCGATTTCTGTGGTATCTAGGAAGATATAGCTAAGTGAGCTTTCCTGTTGGTTAGGACGTCAAGAGCTGAAGAGAATTCATAATGGCTCAGATTAACAATCAGCATAATTATAAAGTGACTTAACATAAGGAATCAACCAGTCATGTTTTATTTTCCAGTAGGTGGAACCAATCTCACTGACGGTAAACACCAGCGACAGCCTAATTCATGGAAACGAAAAACAGCAGCAGCTTTATGCCAGCGTCTCTACTGAAAGGGTCATCGTGAAACTGCTACAAGGTAAGTCTCAAGCAATATTGCCAAGTAAAATTTAAATCACAGAAATGCAGTGAGCAACCAGGCCTAAGGATAAAAACAAATTAAAAAAGGGGAGGGGATAAAAATAATGCTATAAAGCCACAGCAGTCATCATAAAGTAAATAAGAGCCTAAGGAGATGGCTGCTGCATGCATCAAAGAGACAGATTCATTTAATGCTTAGAAATGTGGAGTTATTATTGTTGTTTTACCATACATCATTGCATAATTAACTATATAGTTAGCATAATTAGATACATTTTGATTTACGTTTTGCATCAGCTGGCTTTTTTCAATTAGTTCTGATCAAAAATGACAAATGTACACTATATGGCCAAAAGTATGTGGATTCCCCTTCCAATTCAGCCAAGCCAATTGCTAACAAGTGTATAAAATCAAGCACATAGCCATACAATATCCATACACTGGCAATAGAATAGAGCTCAAATTAGAGAGCTGAAATTTCTGCCCTGCGAAAACTGCCCTAGTCAACTATAAGTGCTATTATTGTGAAATGAAAGCATGTAGGGGAAACAACAGCTCAACCATGAAACAGTAGACCACACAAACTCACAGAGCAAGGCTGCCGAGTTCTGTTGCATGACTCACACAAATTCCCACAGGCAAACCAAAATCTTGCGGAAAGTCTTCCCAGAAGAGTGAACTGTTATAACTGCAAAGGAAGGCCAACTCTGTATTAATGCCCATTGTTTTGGATTCAGAAGCTCCTATAGGTGTGATGGTCCACATACTTTTGGCCATGTAGTGTGAAAAGGATGGGTTTTTCTTATTTTGACCAACAAGACTGTGCTTGTTTTAGTGAGCTATAAATAAAAATTAATTAAAGGAAATGTAAGAGGAGACGTGGACCTAGGAGACTAGGAGAGTTGAAAACAGAAGCAGTGTTGCATTCTAATGGGCCTGTGTTTTCTTTAATGGAGCAAAGTGGATGAGTAATTGTGCTCTGCTTGTACCCCATGTAGAGATACAGAGTGTATCTTTGTGTACTCCCTTCACCCTCCAAGATCAGACAGTTTATTATCATCTCTGCTGAATGAACATTTCTGAATTAGGCCGAGCATGAGGGGTCCTGGTTCATACTGCTTTCAACAACAGGTCTTTTTAAATGCACTGAAGGTTGAAGAGAATACATGTTTTTATGGTGGCCTAGGCAGCCTTCCCTGCTGCTCTTCGGTGAGACGTCAAGGACGCTGCCCTGACTTTTATTGTTGCTGTTTTGAAGTTTGTGAAGGTCCTGTTGGTGAGACTGGCCCTTAACCTACTTATCCTTGCAAAACTACAAGTGAAAGTACTGTCTCCATGAAGGCTTTTGATAAAATATATACAGTAGCTAATGGGGCATTATTCAGTCACTGCAGCCTTTGTTTATGAAGGCAGGATGTAGTCTAGGACGAGCAGGAGCTCTCCTGTTCCCAGTTGTCAACAGTCGTAACAAATACATGGTGTCTTTTAGTTTTAAAGGGCCTGTATCCTATTATTTTCTTGGATTTTGTTTTCCCCCATGGGGTCCACTTATAATGTTAGACTGGTTGTTATGTATGAAAACCGGTCAAGATTCATTGTGCATGATCATTTTCCAACTTCCCTTTATCCCTGACAATTAAACAGGCTGTTTGACTCTCCTGTGTTGTGCTTCATTCAAAAAACAGTCCAAGCTGAAACACTTCTTATAGCTCCAGAGTGAATGGGCAGGTCTGCTGTACTTTAGGCTGAATAGGTGAGCATATGCAAATGTGGTGGTTTTCATGACACCACAAAAACAGTGACTTTACTTGTTAATAAAGGTAAATGTGAATAAAAAAATAAAATAATGAAAACAAAAAATAGTGAAAAAATAAACAATAAAATAGTGAAAAAAAAATAGTGAAAAACCTTTTGTTTGGGTACTAGAATGCATGGACTTATGCACTCTGCATGCACTTTAGGGCTAAAACTTTATCAACAAAATTATCATAAAAAATATGTCAGACATCAGACAGCATATCTGTATGAAACCGTGAAACGCTTCAGACATCTGGTTCCTATCAACACCACAGTGAACAATTCATTCTGAATGCCATTACATCTTATCAATTGGGTTGTGCAGAAATTTAGCAAAATTGGTGGAAATTTCCTTTAAATGTGTTCAGTTTTGACCTTCTCTGCCCACTGTAGCAAACACGCTTGGTCATTCAGAGTGGTTTGATGTGAAATGGTTCAATGTACAGACTCGAATTTCATTACAGTTGTGCTGATAGGAACCAGGACTCCTGATGTCTACAACACAAATTTTATTTACTATCCAAAACCACCAGTGAACCTACACGTGTCTTGTGAGCTTTTATATGTAATGTTGATAATGGTAACATAGTGATAAATCTGTAAAAATAAGTTTTCTTTGGCGAGTATTTTGCCTCACAACAGCCTTGCATGTGCCTCTCCACCATGAATGGATTTCTTTTTTAGAAATGTGTTTTAGGCCACAAAACTATCCTCACAAAGCTATCATAAAACAATGTCTAAGGCATCAGACAACATACTTGTAACCAAATCATGTAATAGCTTTCTGTAAGGGAGCTTTTACAGGCATCAAATGCTTTAGATGTTCCTTTCACCACCGCTGTGAACAATTCTGACGCGGTAAGGTTCTCTAGAGCAGAGCATTTCACATGAAACCACCCTGAATGACTTTACATCTTATCTATTTCATTATGAAGAAATGTTTAATTAGTGGAATTCCCGTTCAAATGTATTGGATTTTGACCTTCTGTGCTTTCAGCCTGCTATAGCAAATAGACCTTGCTCCTCATTCGTGTCTGTTAAATAATTAAAAGCAATGTAAACATTTAACCTGGCTCACAAGCCGGAGATAGCCATGCGCCATTGAAGGAGGAAGAATTGTGAATGAGCGGAGAGGCCTCGGGTTACTGTGCTCAAACGCTGAGGGTCAGTGGCATGGCCAGGATCTGGCCTTTTAAAACATTACCCTGTTTGCCCTGGTTTTGTGCATAGGCACATTGGACTGTAAACAGCAGGTGCAATGTCCGTAACGTTTTAACGTTTAACCAGGGTCTGACCTCTAGAGAGGGCACACTAGGCTGTTGTGTACTTAGCCGGACCAGGGGAAGTCCTGAGCAGGATGGCCCTTGGCCTTGATGGGGTTATCAGTGTTAATGGCTCCCTTTTAGACAAACTGTACTATGCACAAGTTTGAAAGAGACCACTTTCATTTGTTCAGTTTCCAGTCAAAGTACAAGTACAAAGCACAAGCTATTCATTTTCAGTGTCAGAATAAAAGCAGGGGGACATATATTTAATAGAAAATTACACAAAAGCCTTCAAGGCTAAGTATTTCATTGCCACTTTGAACTCCTCCATCCTTCCAATCATAAATCAATGAGTTACAGCTCCGAACTAAATCTGTTCCCAAAGGAATCACTAACATTATGTTCCCATTCAAAGAGACACTAATAATAATTAAATACATGAAGGGTGGCCTCTGACTTTTGTGTAGAACTGTATAATGTACTATTTGGGTGTATAAGCCATTTTGTGACCTACATAGTTCACATCATAGGCAGTAGAGTGTGATTTGAAATTCAATCAAAGCGTTTTTGTGATCCTGCTTTGTGTTTGGATGGGCCGTGAGGAACGTGCCTTGGCAGTGGAAAAGTATTTCAGCCATTTGCATCCTCTCTTAGTCAGTATGTAAAACTGTGGGTCTGAGGACAAATCTAGTTGAAAGAGGCCTATGCGTTTGTGTCTGTTTCTGTGCAAATGTCCCCTTAAGGAAGAGAAGGAGTGGAAGAAGTGACAGATTACAGGTTTTTATATCAGGAAACTTGCAGAGAAGTCGTTGCTTCTACCCTCCGCTCAGACATGGAAGATCTTTCACGGAGAGCAGCATTCATTAGATTAGAAATACACATGTTCATCGTCGACGGCCAGTTTTTCTGAAGCTATCCGCTCAGATTTTGGATTCTGGATTTTAAACAAATCCCAGATGTGCCAATGAACTCACTCAGTTTCACCAAGTTAATCCAATCCCAGAAGCCAAAATCTGATCAGATAGCTTTCGAAAATCTGTCCCCAGAAGATTAAGTGCACACCAATGAGGGAAGCCCAGCTCCTTTGCTGCTGCCAAAGTGCAGAATCATCGAGGAGTAGGACGAATGGCCCATGCCGTCACGTACTGGAGCTGTAGTGCTCATCCAAATGCTACCAGTGTACAAGCTGTGTGTGTGCAGGATACTGTCATATATTCACTCATTTTTCCAAATAGGTGCTGTAGACTCTCTATACCAGTATAAGTACAAACCTCACAGTTTAGTGTATGATTATTTGTACAGTTGCTTAATATAAACAGTAAAACACTTTATATTCTTAACAACTTTATATTTTCACCCATTTTTTGGGAATCCGAAAGGTTTCTATGTGAGTGGCTTGTCTGAGGTGGGGGGTCTGGGGTGGCACCGGCCTCAAACACATGTACCGTCCATTGCTGTAACTGACACAAAGACACAGAACGCTTTCACTATGGAAAGAACCCTGTAATCTTTCAAAGGTTTCTTTAAGTGTTCATGGATCTATATAAAACCATTCTCTTAACTAAAGAACCCTTGAAGAACCATCATTTTTAGATGTGTACTACAACCAGAATGAGATGTCCACTGTAATCTAGCGTGTTGATAGCATAGTATCATGAAACATAATTAAGAAACCAGCAAGTAGATTAGGTTATATTGTGTCTCATTAATTGTATGAGTAGTCTATCTTCCCATTAGCTGGGGTTTGATAGAGACAGCCGTTATAGCATGATTTTAATATGGTGTTTCATCTAGACACTACAGTGTGTTTTTCCAGTAATCAGTGAAGATCAAGTAAAAAGAGAGAGAGAGAAAGAGAGTGAGTGGGAATAAATGGAGGAAATACCTGGGTAACCTGAACAAACTGCTGTATTGTGGATGTACAGTGCAATATAAC